CTTGAAAGTAATGGTGCACTTTTTATTTCCCCCGAACCTGTAAATACATATAAAATTGCTCCTATTCAGAGTATAATGCTTCACATTCCATATAAACTTAACTTTTCATTTTTAGACAATATTCCTCTGCTGAAATCACTGGACATATGGGCAAATCTATGAAATGGACAGGGCTTCTGGGAAGAAAAAGTATTTTGTGGGATTGTGCATCAGCTCTGCATGTCCCCAGAATAATGAGGTGAAATTGTGATGATTTGGGTCATGATCTCACATTCCAGAGTAATATTGCACCATTAACAAGGTATCTTGAGGTGGATTAGAAACTCCCAAAATTGCCAACTCACTCTGTGGCCTCATTTTTCCAAAAAGCTAAATGCACAGTGCATGTACACTGCTCTCACAGCCCTAAACCCACCCCAGACCTTTTTCTCCATGGAGTTCCTCATTTAATCCCCAGGACAACAACCTTGTGATGTAAGATAGGCTGAGAATCAGTGACAGGCCCAAGGTCTCCCAGTGAGCTGCATGGCCAAATGGGGATTTGAACCCAGATCTCCCAGGTCCTAGTCCAACACTCTGACCCATACACTACAATGTAGATCTATTGATAACTGTTTTTCCTTTAAAAAAAAAAGCTTTTTGTTTTGTGTAGAATTCTTTTTAATACATAATTATATGTTTTTAGACACGTTGCCCTAAAAGAAGGATAATTTTTACCAAAATGCTATTAACAACCTCCATAAACTTAGATGGAACACTTTGAAAACCTTCTTTCTTTCTTTTTTCTGTTATTTTAAAGCATATCATATATATTTATCAGCTCATCCATTTGTCTGCTAGACTTTTTTTTAAATGACACACAGTTGTTATTGTTTAAAAAAAAAAGCTCCAGCAAATCATTCACTGTCCATAGGCACCTCACCCTCACTCAGATTAATCATTTGGAAAAAGTTGCCGAACAGCACAGAAAAAGGTACATTTGAATTTAATCTGGTGAGACCAAATCACCCTTAATCCACTATAAACGTTATATTTTTGTCATCACCCCAAGTCATTTCAGTTTAATCATGTGAAGACATTACTGTCATCAAACCCCTACAGAAACACCATCTGTATAGTACCACAGTTCCAAGCTACAATTAAACCCTGGTGCATTTGGGTGTGCACAGAAAGAGTCAATATTTGTATAACCATCAGGTGTCTTCTTAAATTAATCTAAGCCAGTGTATGCACTGCTGCCTTCTTCCACCTGCACTAATACTAGTTCCTCATGTGCTTCATAGCATTTGTAGAGAACTCAGGCTGCTAAAGCTCAGAGCTACAATAATGTCCAACAGCTTATAATTAGCTAGACACAGAAAACCCAGGGTCACCATTTCTTCCTGCTATGAATGGTAACTGATTTATCTTGTATACATTTGAACTTTGCATCTGACTTTGAGGTGGGGGTAGCACATGTATGTAATGAGGTGGACCCTATTCCACAAAACTATATATGTGACACATATAGCACATGTATGTAATGGGGTAGCACATGTATGTAATGTATGTAATGAGGTGGACCCTATTCCACAAAACTACATATGTCACACATAACGTGCTTTTTTTGTTTTTTACTTTAAGGTGTTACAACATTTTTTTGCTGTTGTTGCAAGTCTAACTTTGTCATCCCTCTGAAGTATAGTCCCTGTCAACTCTGTGTCTATCACTCTGGTCACTACGCTTAGAAGATCTAAGCTACAATACCACTTAAGTCCATAAGGTCAAGCTTATGCAAATGTTCTACTGACCATAGGACATGTGAACACCACACAACAGGGCCAGCCCAAAACACTTTGCCACCTGAGGCAAGCCACAAAATGGTGCCCCCACCCCACCCCAGCCAGCGAAGAAGAGATGAGTGAAGAGCTACATCAGAAACAAGGGAAGGAATCAAATCAACCTTACCTAATGCTTCAAGTGGGAATCAAAGGCCATTGGGGGCAGGAAAAGGGGCCAGGCAGGTGTAGAACCCAGGAGACCCCAGAGGGTGGTCCCCACCATTTCCTTCATATTCATATATATATATATATATATATATATATATATATATATATATATATATATATTATTAGTTTTCAAATACAAAAACAAATTTATACATTCCATACATCTTAATGACATCTTACTTCTCTTTTTTGACTTCCCTCAATTTGTCTGCCATTCCTTACTATTGTTGCTTTTTACACATTTCTGCCCTTTTAACCCTTTCCCCTCACAGAGCTTCCTTAAAGCTTACAAACGTAATTTTATTATCACTCAGTTTTTGCATATATTGGATAAACTTTTCCCAATCTTCTGTAAATCTTTGATCTCGTCGATTCCGGATCCTTCCTGTCATTCTGTCCAGTTCTGCATAATCCATCATTTTAGTTCTCCATTCTTCTATCGTAGGTAATTCCTCCTGTTTCCATTTCTGGGCCATCAATATTCTTGCTGCTGTCACTGCATATAAAAATAACTTCTTTTCTTTCTTATTTATCTCATTACCTGTAATGCCTAGTAAAAATGCTTCTGGTTTCTTAACAAATGTATATTTCAACATTTTCTTCAATTCATTATAAATCATTTCCCAAAAGCATTTTACCTTCTTACACCCACCATTTCCTCCTTAGAGGTGGGAGGAGAACAGCAGCACCTCCTATTCACCAAGGCTGCTGTAGAGGAGGCATTGGGGGGGGGGGGAGCTGCCCAGGAGGCAGAAAATCCAACCTTGCTACTCCTTTGGGTGGAAGTGTGGGATCTAAATTCAAATCCTCATTGTCATCTTCTGAGTAGGCTAACCATAGCTGTCAACTTTTCCCTTTTCTTGCAAGGAATCCTATTCGGAGAAGGGAATGTCTCTTTAAAAAAGGGAAACGTTGACAGCTATGTTAGACTTATGGGTTTATGAGTGCTTGGCCCATGCTTGGTGGAGACTTTGAGTGGCAGGAAGTATTAAAGCAAAATTTGAACGCATGGTTTCTCTTGTCCATCTATTACATGTTCACCCTTCCTCTACAGACCTCAGAGCAGTATGCATGATCCCCATCTCCATCACAAGAATACTGTGAGGTCAGTTAAGCTAAGAGATTGTGAGGAAGTTTGGGTTCTCGCCCTTTCTCATTAACTCTGAAAGCACTTGGGGTTTTTCGAGTATATACCAGTCAGATACATCAAAGGCTTTCTCAAGCATATTAGAAGAACATGCACCAAAGCCATGGGGCCACCACCACTGCCTCTGCCTCCGCTTCCTCTACCCCAAAGCGAAAAAAACACACTTACCTCGGGGAAGGAGAAGTGGTGGGTCATCCCATACACATATGGAGTTCTGGATCTTCTCTCCAGGATCTCTACTTGGAACTCACCCTTGTTGTGTCATTTGTTGCCAAGGAGGTGGTCCAAGTTTTTAAAGTTATTATCCTTCTGCCTCATTTCCCTACCCCTGGTGGAGTCATGGTGCTTTAATGAACAGAACTGCTGCACAGGCAAGTACAATTAGAAGACTGTCAAACAGTTCACCAGCCAGTGGGTCTTTGTGAGCTATAAAATTTTAGTTGCTTTGATTGCATGCTGATTTGCTTTCTGGAATTTGACAGAGTGGAGTGGAAAATCTCAGCTGTTTCCTAGAGTTGTTCTTTTATCTTGCACAAAATAATGCTAATTGATACCGTTTTAAAACAATATTTTCCAAGAAGCCCAAGGATTAAAAAAAAAAATACACTAACATATATTAACTTTTATTATGTAACAGCAACATAATAAATAAATTTATGAATTAATATGGCCTTTACAAAAAGACAGAAAAGATATTGCACCAAGTTCAGGTACCGGCTATTTGGATTGAATATTTGCTAAACAAATGAGGCTCAGTGCAGTCAAAGCTAAGCACAATTAAGACCTATTGATGTTAGTGGAAGAATTAACTGCACACTTTAACCTCCCCCATTGAGATCAATAGGACTGTAATTCTATATACACTAACCTGGGAGTAAGTCCCATTGTACTCAGTGGGACTAACTTCCAGGTACATGTGCCTGGGACTGAGCTGTAAAAATGCTTAACTTTGCCTGGACAATGCCCACAATATCTATCATCATATATACATTTGCGGAGTTAAGGCAAAACCAGATGATACCTCAAAATACAACAGAAGGCTTGAGAAACAGACATAATTAAAAACAAGAGGGGAGCATTTCCATCTCCGACTAATGAATTAGCTGTGTCTAAGGAACAAATCCCTTCGGTTTTTTAATAAAGTGGTTATTATCAATCATGTTAATTAAAGGTGAAGAACAAGTGTAATTTTCCTATAGAGCAAGGCTGTTTTGCAGAGCTTTGCCAAAATGATCCCATTTAACCCTGGTAAGCATTTTTTTGTTAGCATGATAATCTCTTCCCGTTACTAGAAAATACTTTCTGCAGAATATAAACTCCATCCATGTGCAAATAACATCCAACTGTGACCTACAGACTTTCAGTCGGGTGGTCCTCTTTGAGATACATTATCTGAAGGAAAACATCTAAGTGAATCATCCAACACACTGTACAAAGAGGAGTAATGAAGTCAATCACTTATCAATAACCATTATCTATTCCTTCCCAACTGAACAGGATGGATTTATGTTAATTTTTAGAGCGAGGGGAACAAAGACATGATATAACTAATATATCAATGAACGGTTCTTTGGCAGCTATGTATTAATCTTGATTGAAGACTGAACTCAAAGATTCTTAAATTATAGACCTGGTTGCCAGTCTTTTAAAAATATAATTGGGGGAAGGGGGAGAGACAACAATAATGATCCACTTCTCCCACAAATCCCATATGTCCAGTAAAGGAACTCTGAATAAATCTTGCAGGCAGCTTTTTTTGGCAACATCAAGCATAGATATTTACTGTCTGCTTTAGGTCGTAATCCAAATGCACCGTATTTTAAACACACAAAATTCGGTGAAATCTCAAAGGAGTTCAGAAAGGGTCAAATGCCATAAATAGAATCCATATTCACCCATGAGAAACCAAGAAAGAAAACATCAATCCAAAGGATGAGAAGATGATCTTCGGAGAACAGAAGCAATGACTGGTCCACACCTGGGTGAATGTCATGGAGAAATCGACCTTACAGGGGAAAGACCAGGAAGCCAGAAAATGTAGAATACTGCCATCCACCAACCAGATTACCTTTCTCCAGTTTCAGGTAAACCTTGTCTTCCTTGTCTAGATAAAGTAGGACTCCATTTGTAGCAGCTTCACGGGTGACATCCTTGTCCCCAGCAAAAGCAGAAATGACCGGTTTTCCATTGAGCATCAAGTTAACCTACAAAAGAGAAAAATTGCTGAAAAAAAGTTCAAGGTAACAGGGAAACCCATCTATCATTAGCAAATACTATGCAAAGGATCGTTAGAAGCCACAAATGCCTGGAGTCCACAGACTGTTTGCTGTTCTTGAAACATCCTTTCGGGAAATAGCAGTTACAAATACTTAAGGCATTCCATATGTGGAAGGGGAGGGACAGGGCAAAATGTGTTGGTGACTATGGGTCTATAGCAGGCTCACTGTAGGAATAAAAATGCAAGAAGAGTCCTGCCGAATTAGGTCAAAGGCCCTAGTCCAGCATCTTCTTCTCACACTGGCCAACCAGATGCCCATCAGAAGCCTGCAAATCGGATCACAGTATAGCACTTTCCCCACCTTTGATTTCCCTCCTGACACCAATCCCTTTGTAAACGGTTTTGCATCTTTTCAAAACGGTGTGCAAAAGCTGCTGACCACGTAGACCTCATATTGTGGAGGCCAAAATGTTCACCAAAGTCACCCACCTTCGTGGATTAACCAGAGTGAGAACAATGCCAGCCCAGTGATGGCTCACTGTTATAAGCAGGCAATTGTGTACAGATATCTAAGCACACCCCGGAAGCACACCAAAATGACCGGGTGTCAATGAAAAAGTTATAAGGGGAAAAATGCACACATACCCCCAAACACCCAAAATATGTTAAAAGATACATATAGGTGTTTATAAGCTAGTGCTAGAATCCTAAAAACCCAAATGGCAGAAGTAGAGTCTCTGATACTAAGGCCTCATCTACACTATAAATTTAAAGTATATTGTACCATTATAAACATTCATAAAGGTAAAGGTAAAGAGACCCCTGACCCATTAGGTCCAGTCGTGACCGACTCTGGGGATGCAGCACTCATCTCGCTTTCTTGGCCGAGGGAGCCGGTGGACAGCTTCCGGGTCATGTGGCCAGCATGACTAAGCCGCTTCTGGCGAACCAGAGGAGCGCACGGAAACGCCGTTTACCTTCCCGCCGGAGCGGTACCTATATATCTACTTGCACTTTGACGTGCTTTCGAACTGCTAGGTTGGCAGGAGCAGGGACCAAGGAATGGGAGCTCACCCCGTCACGGGGATTCGAACCGCCGACCTTCTGATCGGCAAGTCCTAGGCTCTGTGGTTTAACCCACAGTGCCACCCGCGTCCCCATAAACATTCATAGCTTTCCCCAAAAAACCTGTAGCTGTTAGGAGACACCTGTTGCTCTCACAGAATTGCCATTCTCAGAACTCCCAAGGAAGAGGGGTTGATTATTAAACCGCTGTGCTGATTGTAGCTCTGGGAGGGGAATTGGGGTCTCCTAACAATTCTCAGCACCTTTAACAAACTACAGTTCTTTTTATTTTGGAAGGGAAGCCAAAAGCAATATGAAAATGCTTTAAATGTATTGTGTGGATGGGCCCTAAAAGAGAATACAGTAAATGAGAAACTTGGTGGGTCATTGAAATAAAGTAAGGTACACACTATGTTATTCTGGAGGTGAGAGCAAAGTGTTCAAAACATTTATAATTATGATTATGATTATAATTATTATTATTAATTTACATCCCACCCATCTGACTGGGTTGTCCCAGCCACTCTGGGCAGCTTGCAGCATAATAAAAGCACAGCAAAAATGTCAAAAATTAAAAACTTCCCGATTAAAAATCTTCAGTGAAACAAGCTTATCTACAGAATCATGAGGGTAGGAATGATCCCAGGTGCCAAGGTAAGTTTGTGCTGGAGCATACAATCAAATCACTCTAACCAAAACTCTAATAAGGATCTTGGGATATAGAATGAAATGAAAAGCAGAAGGTTGGCACTGTAGCTCAGCAGTGCATCACCTGATTTACATGAAGATCTCAAGTTTGGCTCCTAGCATATCTTGTTCTTACTTAAGGACTCTTATAAATCCAGATGGTTCTAACTCTTACATAGCAAAATCAGATCTATTGGCATTGACTTGGAACTCTTGTATAATTCAAGTGAGCCATATATTTATCGCAATATTCAAACCAGATTAAGGGACATTGAAAAACTAAACACCAAGTCAGCTGTAAATAAAATGTGCTCCCCCAGGTTCTATGGTTTAAATATGACAGATAACAGGGTCACTTATATCTTGAAATTAATAATTCCAGTCCAACAACTGAACGTTTCCCCCTCAGCTTTTGTCAAGGGCAGATGTTCAAACATCCCCAGAAAAGATAGACATTGTGGGTGTTCTTTGAACATGCCGGACATTGTAGAACACATTCTTTTCTACTGTCCATTGCACAACCAGCTATGCAAACACATGCTATCCCCTTTTGGGGGTAGTCTAACACCACGGCACAATGAAAATATAAGATTCTATCTGTCTGACAGTAACCCGGAAGTAACTACCAGGGTGGGTGAGTTTTTGTCAATAGTATCTCTTAGAGTGGTGAATGGCACTATTTAGCAGGAAGAAATTTCAATGAAAATCCTCATTAGTACATATTTTACATGGCTGTCTATTTGTACATATTTTAAAATTTTATATATGGCTGTTTTATGATGGCCTATTCTTGTAATGCCTAATAAAGGTTTGGTGAAGTAAGTAAGTAAGCATATCTTCTTAGCAGAATCAGGCAGTGGGAAAGACCTCTGATTGAGATTTTTAGGGCAGGGATGGCCAATGTGGTGCCATTCAGATATAATTAGACTACAACTCTCATCAAACCCAGCCAATCTGTTAGGAGTCACAGAGCCATTTCCGAGCTTGGGAGGAGAGGGGGTTGTGGGCTACCCCCTCCCACACACGCGGGGGCTGGCCTTTTGCCCCCGCGAGAACAGGAAATCCCCGGGCATGCCTTCGACCCTGCCTGCCAATCGGCGGGCTGGGGAGGCGGAGCCTAGCCTATTTAAGGCCAGGCATGACCGGGGACCGCCCTCTTTCCCCTTTGCAGCTGAGCGGTTTTCCCATCCCACCCACCCTTTAGGCTTAGCTAGCTATGACCTTGCTATGGACTCCGGTTGGTCGCCGCAAGGGGCCTGGTAGGAATTTTTCCAATTTGGCGCACTTCTAGCCTTTTGGTTTTTTCGCCTACCTCGTAGCAAACCTCACAACTTCCGCGGTATTGGCGGTTAGGCATTGGCAGGGGTTAATTGTTATGCAAATGAATGGGGGGAAGGAAGTGCCATCACCTTCCCCCAATGAAAAGGGTAGTCCGGTAGAGGACTCCGGGGGGCATTGCCTTGTCCGAAACCTAGGGAGGTAAGGGCCTCCGGCACGCCCCCGAGCGGTGACACCCGTGGGATCCTAGTTGGCGTACTTCAACAGGACTCCCACGGCTTGTGGATAACCCTTCCCAGTCTCCATGCCGGGTAGTCGATAGGAGTCAATGCCTAAGGCCAATACCTTTCAATTCTGTAATCAATAAAGCTGTGGCCTTTTTATGCCCATTAACCTTAAATAATGTGTCCAGTGTCTTCATTTCACATGGGGGAGGGGACTTGCCATGCAATCCATTGACATCTGGAGCACACAATATTGCTTAACTCTGCCTTAGAAAGCTATCCCTAGTCAATAATAGTGATTTAGATCAGCGTAGCTAATATGGTGCCATCCAGATATTGCTGGACTACAACTCCCATCATCCTTGATCATTGGCTTTGCTGGTTGGGACTTATGGGAGCTGGAGTCCAATAACATACATAGTTATTGGCTATCTCTTATATGAGTGGACCAATGGCTTGGCTTGATATAAGGATGCTTCCTCTGTTCTTCAACTGTGGGGAAGGGCAAAGTAGAAAATGTACTAACAAGTGATTATTTCAATTACTCTCAGATTGACTGGCTAATTGTAAATTTGTGTCACAGCAAGCTGGCAAATAAATAGGCTTAAACATGCTTAGCTCTAAATTGGACAGTGCCCAAGAGTTTTAGCTATAATGAATGAGTGTGCCTTTACCAACACTGAGTCATGGAGCCAGCGACAAAGGAAATGACACTTGATTTAATCCTAAATTATTCCCAGAGCAGTACAAGAAGCTATAAACACTGTTGAACTTCCTGGAAACAGTGAATACAGCACTACCAAGTTCACCATATTATATGACTGGAAAATTGCCCAGAAAATCCAACAGAGTCATATTTCATTCCAAAAGGGGGCTTTTATTGTCAAAAGTGAGAAGGTTAGCTAGGAGGAAACTGAAAGGTAATGTCAGAAGGGTAAAATCTCTCAAGGGAGAATGGGTACTACTTTAATGCAGTATAACAGAAGTTGAAATAAAATGTATAGCACAGCTTCGAAAACAATCCTAAAAAGGATACTGTTGTGAATTACATTGAAAAGGCACAAAAATTAGCTGTAAGTTCTAAAAGGTGAGAAAGCTCACATTACAAAATGGAAGGCTGATGAAAATGAGAAAATTCAGGCAAACTGAATGTAAACCTACAGGAAGACAAACCCAGAAGAAAATTAGGGAGCAAATGCCAAAAATATATAGAAATAATAAGAAGAAGATTAAAAGAATTTAAATACAACAGAAGCAGGAAACCAGCAAGATTTCCGGCAAGATAAAGTTAGCATAACTTGTTAGCAGGGTAAAATTAGCAATAGTTAAAAGAAGCATTCAATTTCAGTGAAGATGCACAAATTCTTTGCATCAACCTTCACTGCAGATGTTGGCCAGATGAACTCACCTGTACAGGTGAAAATATTTGTGAAAGCTTTTAGCTCAGCACTAACCTGAACTGACAGAAGCTGATAATATAAGGTGTCAAAAGAAGGTTTACAACTAATTGAATTTAAAAAGACATATACAAAATACCCCAGCCATAGGGCTAGGTGGCACTCAGCCAAGATTTCTTAAAGAACTCAGATGTAACAACATTTTCTTATAAGGCAGTTGCTACAACCCATTGATCATATTGGTTGCCACTTTTTGAAACTTTTTCCAGCTGGAAAAGAGTCATAGTGGTTGAAAATAAATGCAGCGTATAAAAATAAAATAAAACCAGAGCAAATTTAAACGCTAACCATTCAAAATACATAAAATGCCCAAATTAGTAAAGACCAAGTCCTACCCACCACACCAAAAGATAAGCTCACTGTAGAAGTCAACATTGATTAATTGACCACCTGGGTAAACAGAAAAGTCTTAGCCGGGCATCTAAAAGTTGGCAGAGGTGGAGATCCGAGGCCTTGCAGGAGCATAAGCCGCTGTTCTTGAAGTTTGAATCTGGAATGGACATGGGGGGGTCTGGAGTTGTGAGGGCTCTTAATTTTGGAAGGACTTTGAAACATGCTTTTAAATACCTCCTGGATTACAGTGTTGACTGTGGGGAATGGGCTGATTTGCTGAGGGGAGATGGAGATATTTTTGGATTGGAGTCCTCCCGAGACCTACCCCCCCAATGAGAAAGGAAAGAAATTAAGAAAAAGATCAACAAAAGACAAAGTAAAGTGCAGGTATAAACAAGAAGAAGATCTGCAGAAGGGACATGGAAAAGACTTAAGGGCCTCGGACATAAGATCACCAGGTTGATGGACTAGATGGAATGGACAAGAAGGACTGACAAAACCCGAGACCAGGAAGAAGAGACGTTGGATGAAGATTGGAAAAAAGTTTTTTTTAAAAAAAAAATTATTTTGAGAATTAGTGTAAAATTAATGAGTATTAGGAAAAATGTTGGAATGAAACTATTTGGCTTTAGTAGAAATGATATAAGGAGTTATGTATAAATAAGTATTAAGTTTTAAGTTTTAAGGTTTTTTTCTTATGGTAAGATAAGGTTAAATAAATTAAGGTAAATTGAATGACAGAATATAGTGAAAGATGGAAAGGATTTGTTGAGTTAATTAAAAGGTTAGATCTAGAACGAAAATTGAGAAAGATGGAAAGGACTTGCTGAAATAGCTAATTGAACTAGAATACAAAAAAGGGAGGTGTGAGGAGGTCGATGAAACAAGTATATGAAAGGTAAAGACATGGAAAAGTTGGAAGTGTTTTTAAATGTTTTTGTTCTGTTTTTTCGTTATTTTATTGTATTGGTTTTTTGGTTTTTTCTTTTTGTTTTGTTTTTATGTATTGTAAGGTATTGTTTTGTTTTGTTTAATTCTTTATTGTTCTCCTTCTTTTTCTGTAACTTGTAAACTCCTAATAAATATCTTTTTTTAAAAAAAAAGTTGGCAGAGGTGGCATCTGGAAGCAATTGGCAAGTAGTATAGACTGTGTTGACCTCTAAGTAACCTAGGGTCACAACACTGGGACAGTGAAGGAAGAGTACGCAAAGGATCGTTGTCAGTGAGCACTAAGATGCATTAAGAAGGGTGTGAGGATCCTTGATGTTTGCTACCCAGGACTGTGGTTCTTTGAGGGCAGAGAGCATGATTTCTCTGGGGCACACCTGCATCATTTACTCAGGCCTTCAGACCTGGGAGGTTATGACTCAAGCCCTCAGCACCGAAAAGGTGTGGCTGAGAGGACAGGGACAAGCAGTGCTCTGTGTATGTTCCTAAAATAATAATAATAATTTATCATTTATACCCCGCCCATCTGGCTGAGTTTCCCCAGCCACTCTGGGCAGCTTCCAATCAAGTGTTAAAAACAATATTAAATATAATTAAATATTAAAAACTTCCCTAAACAGGGCTGCCTTCAGATGTCTCTTAAACATAAGATAGCTGCTTATTTCCTTCACATCTGAAGGGTGGGCGCCACTACCAAGAAGGCCCTCTCTCAAAGGCTTCTTCTGTAGAGAGACATCTTAGGGAGAACTCTCGCGCCTCCCCCCCCCCCGTGTGTTTTTTTGTGTGTCCTCAGTTCACATGTAATTATTCAGCATGAACAGCAATGTTTTTGGCCAATTAACTTGTTCTTAATACAAAATGACTCTTGTTATAAACAAGTGATTTGGACTGTGGGAGATACGTAAGCGAAACCTGGAGATTCCAATATCAGGAGCTGGACCACATATAACTTGCTCCTAGGGCAGCCATTTATGCATCACCCTCCAAGTGGAAGAGCATGATGAAAAAAGAGGGTGCAGAATTGCATAAAATTTAGATGTGCCAACTTCTATGCACAGATGTAAATTTAGTTATAATTCCTGAAATAATTCCAGCTGCTCTGGGTGGCTTCCAATACAATATTTAAAACACAATAAAACAGCAAACATTAAAAACATCAAACATTACAAATTTCCTGATAAAGGACTGCCTTCAAGTTGAATAGTTGCTTATTTCCTTGACATCTAATGGGAGGGTGTTCCACAGGGCAGGCTCCACTACCGAGAAGGCCCTCTGTCTGGTTCCCTGTAACCTCACTTCTCGCAGTGAGGGAACCACCAGAAAGCCCTCAGTGCTGGATCTCAGTGTCCGGGCTGAACGATGGGGGTGGAGACGCTCCTTCAGCTATACAGGACCGGGGCCGTTTAGGGCTTTAAAGGTCAGCACTAACACTTTGAATTGTGCTCGGAAACGTACTGGGAGCCAACACAGATCTCTCAGGACCGGTGTTATGTGGTCCCAGCGGCCACTCCCAGTCACCAGTCTAGCTGCCGCATTCTGGATTAATTGCAGTTTCGGGGTCACCTTCAAAGGTAGCCCCACGTAGAGTGCATTGCAGTAGTCCAGCATGCATGTGAGAACTGCAGGCTTGAGAGGAAACCATTGCTTAATGGCACAATGTGCTTCATGTGTGTTAACTAACTGAAGGTGTGGCAGGAAGGTCTTTGCTAAAGTGTTGTGATGACAGAACCTGGCGATAAACGGATGTTGTGCCCTCCAGAAGGTTGTGGCCTCCCATCATTGTAAATTATCAGCCTTCTTTCCTGGGGCTGATGGGAGTTGTTGTTCAGCGACTTCTGGAGCTCACCCTAGCCTATGTGATGTGTAGGAAAGACAAGGAATAACAATCAAATAAAACAGGACAACACCCGAGCCAATCAGGGCTGTAAACAGCAGCAAGGAGGCATTTTACTCCTGCTCCAGAGGGTAAGACCTGAAGCAATAGCTTCAAGTTACAAGTGATTCCCACTAAACACCATGAAGAACTTTCTGATGGTGAGAGCTGTTCAACAGTGAAATGGACTCCATCGGAAGGTGGTGGACTCTCCTTCCTTGGGGTTTTTAAAGCAGTGGTTGAAGGGCCATCTGTCACAGATGCTTTAGCTGAGATTCCTGCATTGCAGGGGGTTGGACCAGAAGGCCCCTGGGTTCCCTTCCAACTGTACAATTCTATGATTTCATGAGTCACTGCCATACCATTCTAGCAACTGACGTGTTCCCTCCATATTTAAACATTACTGGAGCAGCAGGAGACTAGATGACGTGGAAATAGATCACACACTGCAGTGGCAATATATTCAGTGAGCCAGAGATAGGCTTGGCAAGAGCAGAAGAAAATACGCTGCACGTGACCATTCATTTTCGCAGAGACATCTCCACATTCTTATCTTAAGCAATCTTGCTCTTTTCTCCAAATGAAGCAATTGCCTGAATATAGCAAGGGCACGAGGTCTTCCCATAGCTGGTATTTATGATGCTTTTGAGCATGATTTCAGTGAGCACATTACATAGTCTGGAAAGGCACCAAAGGAGAGGTGCAAAGGGTCTTTTAATCTTGCACCAAAGAACACAATGAAATTTCAGCAACCCGGGCAGCTGGGATTTTCTTTTAGCATATCACCCATCACTTGGAATACCAGCAAAGCTTCATAATCATCCTTGATAGCCATGGGTCAAAACAAAGCAAATGCACAAGCAGGTGCCTGGTCTCATCCTGTGCTATAAGGTATATGACACCACCCATGTTTTGAGATGTTTGCCTGAAATGGAGTTTAAAATCCTATTAAAATAAAAGGGCATTTTAAGAACACGGGGATGGGGCTTTCTCCACTTACAATTTGCAGTGGTGTAGTTGCTGTCTGATCTGATCTTTTTAAATTTTGCAGCTGATTCGTAGCACCTTTGGTCACATGTTGCTGTTGGCAGTGAGTGGGTGTGAGGTCCCCCATTTAAGTCTATTATTATTAAAAACTTGAACGTGAGCAGAGGGGGCATGTTCACCACCACCCACACTAGTCAACCTTTGGTGCTGACAATGCTCCACAACCCAAGGATACAATGAGGTGAGTGATAAACCAGCCCCTTCACCCTCCAGGGGTCTCAGGGTGTTGCTGCCATGGCTAAAAATTGGCTGCTGTTTCTTTAATGGTAAAAGAACTAAGTCAGCATGAGTCAACGGCCTATAATGACTCATGCAATCTTTCACCAAATTGTACCTGTATATATAGAGTGGTCGGTGTTAGTGTTGGGTGTGGGTTGTTTGGATGGTAAAAAGCTGGTTGTGTGTTAAAAAAAGCTGTCGGTCGTGGTTGGAGAAGACTTTTTAAGAATAAAAGTAGCAATACTCTGCAAGAACACTCTTCTCAAAGACTCTTTTGTGCCAACTAAGGTCTGAAGACTAGGTAAAGGAGTAAAAAGGAGGTTAGAACCTTTTCTTTTTCAAACACAAACAGGTTATGGGCCCAGTGTTTCTGAGCGTGTGCAGAGTGCAAAATGACTGACAGCATCTCAGCAGGGAGCTAGTGAGTCCTGGTGGTGCAGCTGACCATATCTGAATCTGTGCCTACACCCCATGCCAGCATGACCCAACAAATACTTAATTCACAAAGCCATCCCAACTGGCTCGGCAAAGTGGAAATGCCCCCAAGCCAACTGCATACAGCCCGAGCAACCCATGGCGCATGCATCGATCAGTCAGACTAATAATCTAGCTTCTTAATATCTGCCAGCTTGGAGTAGGTATTAAAAAAGGTACATTCCAGGCACATTGCTGCAAACTTTATTATATATCCTATTCAGACGTATCATTATGTAATCCATGTTCATTTTAAAGGTTTAACTGATTCTTTCTGTGTTTTACTGAAAATTATCTAGCATATGCTGGGGGTTTTTAAACAGCTTTGTGGATTTTAGATGGGGGGGTATTAATCCATCGTTGTATTATGAACATCGCTTTGAGAGTTTGGGATCAGGTGGCCTATACATCTTTCTAAATCTACAAATACAAATTAGTTAATGTGGGTGTAGCCAAAAAAAATCCTACACAGCCCCTTGGAGTGATTGATTATTCCCACATGATACTAGGCCCTAGGGGGAAGGAGTGTCCCACAGGAAACTAAGAGAAGGTGGGACTGGTTTCTAAGGCTGGCTATGTGACTGAGACCAGCATCACCCCAACATCAGATTGCTAGAGTGAGGAGACCTTCCTTCCCCTACTTTCCTGATGTTCCACCAATCTCCAGCCATAGGCTTGCCACTAGGATTCTTCCTCTCAGGCCTTGACATCAATATCTGTTTCTGGTTGTATTCTCACTTGCTCAAAATGGGAGGGATCCCCATTCCAAAATGCTCTTCTCCTCTCACCTTTCTTTGGATGCTGCTTTAGAAGGCACTTGTTAGGATGTTGGGCTAGGTCCTCGGGGGTAAAGGTAAAGGACCCCTGACAGTTAAATCCAGTCATGAACAACTCTGGGGTTGCAGCACTCATCTCACTTTACTGGCCAAGGAAGTCAGCATTTGTCCGCAGACAGTTTTTCTGGGTCATATGGCCAGCATGACTAAGCTGCTTCTGACAAAACCAGAGCAGCGCACAGAAATGCCGCTTATCTTCCTGCCGGAGTGGTATCTATTTATCTACTTGCACTTTGATGTACTTTCGAACTGCTAGGTTGGCAGGAGCTGGGACCAAGCAATGGGAGCTCACCCTGTCGCTGGGATTTGAACTGCCAACCTTCCAATCGGCAAGCCCTAGGCTCAGTGCTTTAGACCACAGCGCCACCTGCGTCCTGGTAGGACCTCGGGGGACCAGGGTTCAAATCCCCACTTGGCCATAAATCTCAGTGGGTGACACTGGGTCAGTCACTGCCTCCTAGCCTAGCCCTACCACACAGGTTGTTGTGAGGGTTAAATGAAGAGGAGGAAGAGCGCCCTGAGCTCCTTGGAGGAAAAGGTGGGGTATAAATGCAAAATAAAGACTCTCCTCCCTGGAAGAGAGGGGAGTGGTTGTGGGCGGGAGCCCGAGCACCGCCCCTAGCAGGGGGCATTAGCCCCCTGCCTCCTCCTCTCACCTGGCTGGCGCCCACGCCCCTTGGCAGGCATCCAACCAGGTGCCTTCGAGGGGGCGTGTTCAGCAGACTTTTGCGGCGGTGCCAGCCTCTCCTCGGCCTCATTCTTCTCTGTCCTCTCGTCGTGAGTCGAGCCTAGCCCTACCACACAGGTTGTTGTGAGGGTTAAATGAAGAGGAGGAAGAGCACCCTGAGCTCCTTGGAGGAAAAGGTGGGGTATAAATGCAAAATAATAATACATTATCTCTGTTCCCCCAAACTGCTCTCTCTGCAAATGGGATGGGATGCATTTCCACAATCCATCTCTTTCTCACCCTCTTCATTCTCCCAGGTTTCCTCCTCCTAATGCCTCATCAGAGCCAGTGTGGTGTAGTGGTTAAGAGTGGTGGACTCGTAATCTGGTGAACCGGTTTCGATTCCCCGCTCCTCCATATGCAGCTGCTGGGTGACCTTGGGCTAGTCACATTTCTCTGAAGTCTCTCAGTCTCTCTCACCTCACAGAGTGTTTGTTGAGGGGGAGGAAGGGAAAGGAGATTGTTAGCCGCTTTGAGACTCCTTAGGGTAGTGATAAAGCGGGATATCAAATCCAAACTCTTCTTCATCATCATCAAGTCCATACATCCCTCTCTACATTCCTGCATCATCTCTGCACCCTTAGAGGAGAAGTGTGATCGCCAGCCTGACCTGATTTACTGCTGGCGAGCCCTTCTGCAAAGACGTATATAGGCAAAGCAGCACAGTTCTGCTCACACTGGAGAGAGGGGAAAGGGAAGTGGCTTTCATGAATCCCATCCTCCCTCTGCAATATAAGATAAAATGTAAATGACCCCCTGGACAGTTAAGTCCAGTCAAAGGCGACTATGGGGTTGCAGCGCACATCTCGCTTTCAGGCCGAGGGAGCCGACGTTTGTCCACAGACAGCTTTCCCGGTCATGTGGCCAACATGACTAAGCTGCTTCTGGTGCAACAAAACCCCATTTCAGAAGCCAGAGCGCATAGAAATGATGTTTACCTTCCTGCCGCAGCAGTACCTATTTATCTATTTGCACTGGTATGCTTTCAAACCACTAGGTTGGCAGGAGCCCAAGAGGCTCAGTGGTTTAGACCACAGCACCACCTGCGATACTCTGTGTCCCTCAGAAAGGGGTCCTTTGGAACAGCACTCCAAGCTTTAGAGCCAAAGGGGAATTGTTTCCCCACATCCTTCTTCCATTATGTAGACTCCACCATATTCCAGTTCCTTCTGTGAATGGAAAGAGCCCTTCTGTTCACAAAGCGACAGGGCTGGGTCAAACGGAGTCACTTTTTAGTCCTACTGATTTCACTGTTGCACTCAGATCTTGCTCATGGGCTTCTCAGATGCATCTGAATGGCCATTGAATTGGACAAGGGACTAGATGTGTCTGGCCTGATCCAGAAAGCTGTTCTTATGCTTTTACATCAAATGCATGCTTCCTTTCATTGTGCTCATAGCATTTATTATCATGAAATTACTTCTAACAGTCCCCAATGTGAGATTCACAGAAAAGTTGTAGCACATAATTAGAATGCAAGCACTCTCTTTATTTTGAACTCTCAAGGCCGTATCTTGAACTGGTGAGCAACATTGTTATCTTAAAATGTCACTGAAATCCATTTGCTATTGGCCAAGTTGAGCTATTTGCTGTTTCCTAACTCATCAACATGGGTGCATTTAAACTATTTCTATTTACAATAGAAAATGGATTTTCGCTATTATCCATTTATCTATATATATTTTTTAGGGAAATGGGGAAGGGGAGAAGGAAGGAATGAAATGCTAACAAATGTGTTCCAACAGATTTTTTGAATCAACATACCTGGATTGTTTGGCTCTGGTAGACTTTAATTACATGAAAATTAAAACTGTAAATTCCTTTTCTTGGTGCTACAAAGACAGACTCCAGCGTAAAGAAATTCCCCACATTTACTAGGATCTACAAATTAAAGAGAGAGGAAATAAGAATTAATGGAAGCATTCTGTGTTCTTGGGGGGAAATATAGTTAATTTGCAACAGACACAAAATTTCTCACCATGCCTACACATCTAAAGCCAAGGTGTTAATTTTTAACCCCAATATTTATTTATACTAATTTATTGTACATAAAATTAAGATTTCCAGACATAAGAAATATTTTCCCCAGCAAGATTAAACTGGCCTAGACATCCTTTCTTTAAGGTTACAATTCTGTGCATGCTTAGTTCATACCCTCCAACATTTCTCTGAGGAAAATAGGGACATGCCATTCCATAATGATAATTTTACTATAGATACCCCACACATCTTACTGGGTTGCCTCAGCCACTCTGGGCAGCTTCCAACATATATAAAAATATTAAACATTTTTTAAAATTCCCTATACAGGATTGCCTTCAGACATCTCGGGGGGTCAGATAACTCCATACCCTGCATTTCTCCAATGAAAATAGGGACATCCTAAGGAAAGGTGGGACATTCTGGGATCAAATCTGAAACCGGGATGGCATCTCTAAATCAGGGGCATCCCTAGAAAATAGGGACTCCTAGAAGGCCTGTTAGGTAAAGGACCCCTGACCATTAGGTCCAGTCGTGGCTGACTCTGGAGTTGCGGTGCTCATCTCGCTTTATTGGCCAAGGGAGCCGGCGGACAGCTTCTGGGTCATGTGGCCAGCATGACTAAGCTGCTTATGGCAAACCAGAGCAGCGCACGGAAACGGCGTTTACCTTCCCGCCGGAGCGGTACCTATTATCTACTTGCACTTTGATGTGCTTTTGAACTGCTAGGTTGGCAGGAGCAGGGACCGAGCAACGGGAGCTCACCCTGTCACAGGGATTCGTACCACCGACCTTCTGATCGGCAAGTCCTAGGCTCTGTGGTTTAACCCACAGCGCCACCCGCGTCCCTTGGAAGGCCTGTTAGTTCAGGTCAAATGGGCCTGCTTTTGAGTTTGCCAGGATAAGGTCCATAATGCACAGGCTGTATCCTGAAAACTGAACAGCTCCTTAGTTCCACTAAAGGTCTTGCTGAGTTTTAAGTACTGCAGAGTTTTAAGCTACCTCATCATAGTGAGGGGAGAGGCTCATATTTTTAAAATCTGTTTTGCAGCACAATTCTGGTGATGTAAGCGCCACCAAAGTAGCCAGGTAGGCACAAGCAGAGCACACAGAATGCCGACAGCTGCATCAGCAGCACAAAGGCATGATGTTACACCAGCATTAAAGTGATGCAGCACAATGCTTCTGACACTGCAGGACGATCTGCCCGTGCAAATATTTACAAGGTAGGGCATACTCCTCAAACCAATTATGTCCTGATGCTAGATGTCAATGGTCCATACCCAGAGTAAAGAAGTGAGCTCCTTGCACATCGGGTTCACTAGGGACATAACTTTAAATACAGCATGGGAGATTTTCAAAATTATGGCAAACTTGTAAAAGAATGATCTAACAAGACAATCCAAGCCCCAGCTAGTAGGCCATGGCAGGACATGGCAAAGCAGCAAAGCGACTGCTATATCCACAACTCTGGGTGTATATAGGTCAGAAAGCCCTGGGGGCACGTCAAGGAATCTCCTTTCACCATCAGGCTTTTGCTTTCCTTCTTTCTTTTATGTCTATTTACGGATATATATTTTTGAGTACAAGTCTCACAGGTAAGTAACAGTGCTGCTACAAAAAATTAGGCACATCTAATAGCCGTAACGTTATGCTCTAAAGATGCTGCCCACGTTCTCTGCTGTTGTGCCCAACCTGTTCTATTTGGTATATGTCACCACACACTAGTTGCCAGTAGCACCACCACCCAAAAAATCAGCGCTGAATAGGTGTGGGGGAAACTGTTTCCCTTATGGCAATCTGATCCATTGACTACGCTGGAGCTACCTTTGAAGGTGACCTAGAAACTACAACTAATCCAGAATGTGGCAGCTAGACTGGTGACTGGGAATGGCCACCAAGACCACATACCACCAGTCCTGAAAGACCTACATTGGCTCCTAGTATGTTTCCGAGCACAATTCAAAGTGATGGTGCTGACCTTTAAAGCCCTAAACGGTCTCGGCCCAGTATACCTGAAGAAGCATCTCCACCCCCATCGTTCAGCCCCGACACTGAGGTCCAGCTCCAAGGGCCTTCTGGTGGTTCCCTCCCTGCGAGGAGTGAGGTTACAGGGAACCAGACAGAAGGCCTTCTCGGTAGTAGCGCCCACCCTGTGGAACACCCTCCCACCAGATGTCAAGGAAATAAACAACTACCTGATTTTAGAAAACATCTGAAGGCAGCCCTGTTTAGGGAAGTTTTTAATGTTTGATGTTTTATTGTGTTTTTAATATTCTGTTGTGAGCCGCCCAGAGTGGCTGGGAAACCCAGCCAGATGGGCAGGGTATAGATAATTGTTATTATTATATTATTATATATATATGGAGAGATGAGTGGGAGCCAATAAGGATCCAAAGAGGTGGATAGGGTTAGGATCTGGGCTTTTATGCCTCCCTACTATCTCAATCCCACATTGGTTGGTTGGTTTGCAGGAACATCCCCACAATAGCCCTTGCATGCCCCTCACCACAATACCACCCCCAACCCCACCCCCAACACCTTTCCAGATTGTTAAAACAGTGTGATTATTGGGAAGGAAGACCTTCCGATGTCCAGTGGAGTACAGAGCCAATTTGGATGATCTCCAGTGTGGTAAAAGCACTAGATGTGCAGGGGGTATGGGTGTGCATGCGCACACACTGTATGCATGCCTTCCATCACATGTCTACCAGGCATTACACACATCTGTCTGCTTCACACAGCCTTTCCATGCCCTTATTGAAATCTGCACATGCATTCCTTTCCTGTATTGCAACACAGAGTGTTCGCATATATCAAATGATGCACTTGTGACATCATATATATGCCTGGTGTGAGCTGCATGCATAAGTCCAAGCCACACTCTGTGTAATAGTACACTTGAGCCGTGGGAGCGCTTATTTTCATAGAATAGCCCCAATTAGCTGGCTTCCCATAAACAAAGGGATTCAGGGATTTATTTGAAGTGCTTCAACTTAGAAGAGCTTGAATGGAAAGGGCAGTTGTGCTTCCAAAGGGTTAATAATAATAATAATAATAATAATAATAATAATAATATTGCATGGAACTGAATGGGAAAGCCCATTTCTGCAGGAACTTCACAGGTATATCAGAGCAAGCAACGGCTTTTGGAGCATAGGGAACAATGATCATTAAGGAGACTGCAGGTATAGTCAACTACAGAAAGATAAGATTCCCTTATGTCTCTTGCAGACATAAATCCTGGCCTTTCTTTGGGTAGCTTTGGGAATGGCTGGGTTGTGTTACAAATGGGTCCAATCCACAGAAAGTCAGGCATGTGTGAGCCCTATTGATTTTAATGGAATTTATTTCTCAGTCCTAAACACAGCCTTTAAAAATTAGCCTCATTGATCTCTAGGAAGTGTACTTCCCAATAAGTGGCTTTGGGCTGCAGTTTATAACTGGAAAAGCAAACCTATTGTTCAAAATGGGGCATGTGTGTATTTTGTTCAAGATTCTAACCTTTAAATCCTTGCATAACTTTGAGATCTCTTGCTCTAGTACATATCTCCCCCTGCCCTTATATCATCAAATGAAGCCCTCGTTTTACCCAGCTTTAAACTACAAAGGAGCACAACTGGACCATTTAAGGTGTTCTTCCTATGGAGGTTAGGATGCCCCCTCCCTCTCAAGACATTTCAACCACCACTAAAGAAAACTATTTGTTTTCTTAGGCATAAGCTGGGCTTGGAAGAGGTTGTGGGAGGTGCTTTGTTGGTTGCTTTGCAGCATTCTGTTTCATTTTTATTGTGGATTTTGTTGTGTTTTATTATTATGCACATACCGTAGTTGATTTTAGCGCTTCTTGGTTGGCAATTAAGAAAAGCGAGGGAGGGATGGAGGGAGAAATCTTGATCTGAATTGCAGTACAAAACCTCCCCAGTGTATATGCATGGCTTCCACAGCTGACTATGGAGGTGACAGGCAAAGATCTATAAACACTCAGGGTCCTTTTCCTTTCTGTAGGCATCGATCAAAGCATCCTTCTTAGGAAAGTTACTTTGCTGAATCATGGGTCAATGTGTTCAGGATTGTGGAACTAAACTGGAGAAATCACTGACTAGCCCTAGGGTCTTCAGTCTGGCTCCAGGAAAAGGATCTGAGGGTAAATTCTTTCATAATATTAGTGCTCAAATTACGAGAGAAGAGGTGGGCATGTTAATGAAACCCACAAGCTTCACTCTTATCTTGTCTCAGTTTTAACCATATTATGGTCCCCAGACACTGGGGGTGGCAGCTCAGATGATAAGGCCATTAAGCTCCTCTAGCCCCCTATAATTCTAGCACACCTAGCCTGTTGGACAAGGTGAAATGCTCTGGTGCTTCCAAAACTGATCCCTGCATTCAGATATTCTTTCAGATTTAAAAATAAAATAAAAACTATTAATATTTGGCACCCAGCACATGATGGGGTTGTTTCCCCAAGACAACATTCCCCCCAGACAACAGTGGCCATTCAAAAAGAAACTGTTCCATGCAAAGAAGTCATTCTGTTTTGTCATCATCATCATCATCATCATCATCATCATCATATATTATTTATACCCCGCCCATCTGGCTGGGTTTCCTCAGCCACTCTGGGCAGCTTCCAACCAAATATTAAAAACAATACAGCATCAAACATTAAAAACTTCCCTAAACAGGGCTGCCTTCAGTTGACTTTTAAAAGTAAAATGGTTGCTTATTGCCTTGACATCTGCTGGGAGGGCGTTCCACAGGGCAGGCGCCACTACCAAGAAGGCCCTCTGCCTGGTTCCCTGTAACCTCACTTCTCGCAGCGAGGGAACCACCAGAAGGTCCTTGGTGCTGGACCTCAGTGTCCAGGCTGGATGATGGGGGTGGAGACGTTCCTTCAGGTATACAGGACCGAGGCCGTTTAGGGCTTTAAGGTCAGCACCAACACTTTGAATTGTGCTCGGAAACGTACTGGGAGCCAATGAAGATCTTTCAGGACCGGTGTTATATGGTCTCGGCGGCCACTCCCAGTCACCAGTCTAGCTGCCTCATTCTGGATTAATTGCAGTTTCTGAGTCACCTTCAAAGGTAGCCCTACGAAGAGAGCATTGCAGTAGTCCAAGCGGGAGATAACTAGCACATGCACCACTCTGGCAAGACAGTCTGTGGGCAGATAAGGTCTCAGCCTGCATACCAGATGGAGCTGGTAGACAGCTGCCCTGGACACAGAATTAACCTGTGCCTCCATGGACAGCTGTGAGTCCAAAATCTGTTAAGACTGTCTGCAGATCTGCAGTTGAGGACAACTGAGTTCAAAGTGGATCTGGGAGCATTATAATAAACCTGTGCTGTAAAATCAACACAAGCTTATCAACCTGAGTGGTCTCAGGAGACCTGTTTGCATCAGATCCCAAAATGTTTCAGTAATAGTGTACATTATTGCACTTGTAACAGGGTTGGGGAACATGTGGTCCTCCTGATGTTGCTAAACAGTTCGCAGGCAGTCCAATCATATCTAGAGGGCCACGGGTTCCCCATTCCCCGCTCCAATGAAATTATACTGACATGGCACCTGACATGCCCACCCCTTGAGTACTTAATTCCTGAACTTAGGATAGGCCTATCTCTTTCTGCCTCCTTCATTGATCTCTAATAAAAGCATATTTTCTTAAAATAGCAACAACAGCAACAACAACCCTGGATTTTGCTCTAGGGTATCTCCCACCACCTACTAGGAATCTTTCTTGATGAAATGTTGGTCTCAGTTTAAAATTAAAGAAGTGATGAAAATCGACTCAATTGTTGTTTTTTAATTACTTGGGAGGCAGGCTACTTATTATCCACAGAGGAAGTGACCATGATTCAGTGGTAAAACTGCTTGGGATGATTTCATTGAATTTCAAAGTAATGTCACCTCCCCCTTTTTCTTCAAGACCCTCCTTAAAATCCACCTTCCCATGAAGACTAGAGCTTAACTCAGGGATGGCGCTCATGTGTGCAGTTCTCCAGACTCTGAATCCCATCATTCCAAGTGAGCAGGGCTAAAGGATGGGGATGATGGGAGCTGTAGTCCATGTCTGGAGAGCCCCCAGTCCCTCAGCCCTGTCTTAACTCCTTACTGCTCAGCCTCTGCTCAAACGATGGCTAGGTACATATAAGAACCTAATAAGAGCCTCCATGGATCAGGCCAAGGGCTCATCAAGTCCAGCATGCTATTCTCACAGTGGCCAACCAGAGCCACAACAACATTCTGCCCAACTGCAGTTCCTAGCTACTGGTATTCAGGAGCATTGCTGTCTCTAAAAGTAGAGGTAGAACATGGGCATTAGGCTCAGTAGCCATTGGTGGGCTGTAAGAGTCTAATCCTCTTTTAAAGCCACTCAAGTTGATGGCCACCACTGCTTCTCATGGGAGCAAACTATGAGCTGGCTAGAGAAGTACTTTCTTTTACCTTCCTTCTTCATTTTATTGCATTTATACCCCATCTTTTTCTCCATGGAGTACAATGTAGTAGCAGCAGCAATTATTATTATTATTATTATTATTATTATTATTATTATTTACTTATAGCCCACCCATCTGACTGGGTTGCCCCAGCCACTCTGGGTGGCTTCCAGCATAATAATGGTTTTCCCTTTCCGCATTTAATCCTCAACAACAACCCTGTGAGGTGAATAGTCTGGGAGACAGTGACTGGCCCAAAGTCTGTGTGGAAACTTGAACCCTGGTCTCACAGGTCCTAGTCTGACTCTCTAACCACTACACTATACTGGCTCTCTAGTTGTATTTGCTCACTTTCATCACTTGTTTGCCATACTTCTCTTCCCTCCCTGCTGCTTCCCCCCCCCTCGCCAACTGAGGCAGCAATCTTATGCCCACCTGTCTGGAAGAAAACCGCACTGAACTCAATAGCACTACTTCTAAGTACACATGAATCGGATCACATTGTCAGTGAAATATAGCAATATAGTGAGAAGGTAAGAAACTGAGCAGTGATTCATGCATTCCTTGGTTGGAATCTCACCTCTGCCAAAAGCTCATCCAATGGCCAGGGGCACACTTTTCTACTCAGCCTCCCACCTGCAATATGGGGGTGATTGTGCTGATCTACCTACCCTACAGGGTTGTTGTACGGATTATCAGGACTGACCCAAGGCATTTTGCAGCCTGAGGCATTGAAGAAAATGGTGCCCTCCACTCCAAGTTAAGATGCATAATACCACTAACTCAAAGATAATTAGCTATATATAAAAGAACATGATCATTTAAATCAGTAGATGGCGTAAACATAATCCACTGTATTATGCTGCCTGCCTCCTCTTTCCATAAATTTATGGATAATATATTCCAAAACTGAAAGAACTGAGGTGGGGCCAGAGATAAAATATTTGCTATGAGGTATAGTATGTTTCTGCATCACACCCCTTTTGCTGCATGCCCAGCACATGCTCCTTGAGGTGGCCACCTCATTTTACCTAATGGTAGGACTGGCCCTGAAGACTGCAACCAATGTGAAGTATTACAGTTATTCCTCTTCTTATATTGTAAGCTCCTTGGAGAAGTTCCAATATGTGTATGTTACCCTGTGAAGTTCTCGTTATACACTGATGACATCATAATATATTGATAATACTCTTGAGAAGATGAAAAGGAAGAGGTAGAAGAGGAGGAGGGGGAAATGGTAGCAATATATGTTTTAAACCTAAAGTCTGAGGCACAATCTACAGCATCTTTTGGGGAAGTGACTTAGGAACATAGGAAGCTGACATATACAGAGTCAGACCAATGGTCCACCTCAGCACTGTCTACTCTGAACTGTCTACATGGCATATTTAGGAGGAGATGGGAAATTCATGTTACACATTTTATATACTTGTACTTTTGTAATATTTTTGGGAAATGCAAGAATTAATTTTATATTTTTAGAAGTATTGTTCTGACTAGCAGTGACTCTCCAGGGCTTCAGACAGGGGACACTTCCAGAGCTACCTGGAGATGCTAGAGATCGAACCTGTGACCTGTATGCAAAGAGGATGCTCTGCCACTGAGTCATGGCCTTTGTGCCATGAGAGCTGCTGGCAGTCTGGGCAGACCATACTGAGCTAGATGGCCTGTTGACATGAAACAGCTTCATCACATTTCTGACTCTGCAGAAGTCCAGGGGAAATATTTACGGGAGTTGCACCTTGGTCATTCTTAGGAGGCAGCTCACGTACCCCTTTATGTGCATGGCTGCCAGCCACACACTATACTGGTGAAAGTGATCTGTCATTCCCTCCCACCACCCCAATACACCTCAGTCCTAAGTACATTTGCATGAGTTCAATGGAAAGTCGGTTTTAGTTAGCTTTGCCACTGCTAGCTGAAATCGGTTGGAATTTCTTCCAAACATAAATGCACTTTCAGATCTGTTAGTGTGGGGATGGATTCCAGTTGTCGTGGCAATTGAGGAAAAACAATGTCTTCACATATATCACACAACATATGTTGGCTCTTTGCTCAGTCTTGATTGGAACGAGTGTGAAGGCATGAGAGGTGAGTGGGTAGTTTCTTACAAGAAAGCAGGAAGCAAAGAACATAGTAGGAAGAGGAGAAATTAATTGCATGGCACTTTTAGGTTCTGCACAAGTGATGGGTGGGCACAAACACTTTTAAAATTCAAGGCTCATAACCTGTACCTAAGGGGGAGAAAAGCCCTGCATATTGCCTTGCACTCCCTTTCAAAAGATACAGGCAGCTGTCTGATGCCCTGGACATTTCCATGTCTCTTACATATCCACCTGTCTCCTGGCATCTTGAAAAGGTTAATGGCAGTGCGACTTGAGCAAGGTACAATATTCCCAGGACTCTTTGTAGTCATGGGAGAGAGTGAAGATCCATCATTCTCTCTGAAGAATATGTTGTGAAAGACTAAAGAGTAACTTCCTGGGGCTTAATTAACCCACTGCGCTAATATTTGCAAAGATAGGCTATTCCACCTGCTATCATACATAATCAGAAGGGGGTGATAGAGGAAATAGCTGAGGGTAGAGTATTAAACAATTCCCAGGAAGGCAGAGACATTTCAAACTGGAGCTGACACAACATAATTACAATGCCTTCCACCACCATTTCTTTCTTTCTTTTAAAAATACATATGGATCTGATCCAGCCCAAACTGCACTCTTGTATGTCATATAGATTTTAATGGGAGAAACTGACACACATGTTAAACTCTTGCATTAAAACAAATGGACTTTAAAAAAAGGTATTATCTCATAGACAGCTGAAAATCTAAAGTGTGTTGTTGTTGTTGTTTTAAAAAATCTTTCTTTGTTAAAGGATTCATTCTTATTTATAAATGGCTTAACATTGACAATGCAAGACCTTACTTTGGAGCGGGGATGAATAACTCTTTTTGTTTTGTCTAACCATTGATCATATGCCTGGACAGAGGGTATGTTTGGTGTTTGTCTCTGAGAGGTAGGTCAGGGAAAAGTGAAACTGGGTGTCTTTCCAATATTGCAACATTCTGCAGTGATACACTAAAGGTGCAGTGGATCTTTCAAAGGACTGCCTCCATATTCCTCTGTTACCTGACCGTGTTTGATTGCTATATACATGCCAATGTGATTGCACCAGAATAAATAGATTTTGGGTTACAAGAGGTGCCTAAATTCCACTTACAGATTTTGACACTTTATAAAGTGATAAAAGGTTTGGACTGCTGTGAAAAGGTGGCTGGAAAGCAAACAGGAATATCCCACAGAGTTAGATAGGATATTTGGACATATTCAACTGCACACAATGCCCTTCCTTAGAATCTTAAAAATGCCCACACTTTCCCTTCAGGTATCAAATCATCTGAGCTGGAAGGCTATAATCCTATGCACACTTAACATGCCCACAGCGGGGCTTACTTCTGGGTGAATATTCTCAGGACTGGGCTACAAGAGTGCAGAAACAATAAGGTCTCTGCATTGGTGACTACCATCACCAGTGACTGCAAATACCAATCTAAAACTGGATGCATTCCTGAGCAGTCTGGTCTTCCTTCATTAATCTCAGATACACAGACCTTGTTCAAACACCATACCTTTTTTTCATAAGGATGCAAACTTTTAGGTAGTAGGTGACTGTCATTTCTGAATACTGAACTCTGGAAACTTATGTAACCCTCCATGAGTTATAAGAGAGTGGAATGGTAGGAATTTAAATCAATAAGTAGTAAAAACAAACTGCTGTATTCTCAGAGCAAAGCAGTCTGCGTCTTCCTGGTTACAGCCTTATGATTAATTCAATCCAAAGACTTACAATGTGCAAATGCACTCTTGCTTGGTAAAGTGGAATGGCCATCAAACTTCACTGGAAAGGCAAGGAAGTGTCGGTTGGAAGGAAATGAGCCTATTGACCGAGAGTTTCCAATGCCACTTGGTAAGTTTCAGCCCACTGCTTGTAAAGGAGCATTAAAGAGTTCACAGATCGACTCCCACCTGTTGATCCCCACCTCCTCCCCTGAACTGATCTCGTCTCAGCTTCATGACCGGTTGCCTCGCCACTCCACTTCTAATCGAATCCCTTTCCCAAATGATAACTCTTCTCTCTATATATTTTAAAAATTGCTCCTCCCTTGATCAAAACTACTCATCCTTTGACCGATTCTTCTCTCGCTCTTTTTCTTAACCTCCTGGCAGGGGGAAATGATGAGAATGTCCTGCCTTTTAAGAAAGAATATGCATTCATTCACTTCCTATATTACCTGATCGAAGTAGATTATCCTGGTTTTGTTGCTCATCTCGGAAGGTTCGTGGTTGGTACTCCTGACTGCCGAGAAAGCAACCTTGGAATTAGCAGCCCGTACGGAGATCCCCAGAGGAGAAGAAGACGATCCCTTAGAATCGGTAGCCGGGTTGGAATCGCACACGACCAAGCATTTCCCTTCCAGGACGATGGGCTCCGTGTCGTTTTGCGCCCAGACGGGGAAAGTGGGAAGCGCCAACGCCAGGAGGACGGTAGGCACCACGGACAGCGCCCTGCTTGAAGCGCCCATGTTCAGCACCAAGAGAGGCGGACAGCGAAGCCTTGCTCGGAGCGCCCCAGCGACGCCTCTCGTTCCTCCTCTCTCCACGCTTACACACCAAGCTAGCGGTAGCAGCCCTACCAGCAGTTGGGGGGGAAAGGGGGAGAAGAAAGCACACCCGCTACCCGGCGCACCAGCAGCGAAATCTTCCTCTTTTTCACTCTTCCAGCAATTCCAGCAAAAAAAAGTCAGTCTTCCCTCTTCCTTTTCTTTCTTTCTTTTTTTTTTTTTGGTCCTTTAAAGAGCTCTTGGAAATAACCTCCCGGACAAAATCAGCACTCCCCAAAAACCCTGTTCTTCCCGGTCCAACCCCCCCTCCACTATCCACAAGGAGCAGAGAGGGGGGGAAGCCCTGAGGTGAATTATTGATGAAAGAGAGGAAAAGAGAAAGAGAGAGAGAGAGAGAGATCAGGAAGAAATAAAAACATTTGACGTAGCCATGATTCGTTGCATGGCGAGCCTGTCTCCTTTTCTTGTCCTGCAGGAATCTGAGCAGACGTGCCCAGCTCCTGACGGCAGGAGCTTGCCCTCTACGCTAGCTCAGGCACTGCTGGCTGAGCTCATTTGCCAGGATGCTTTGCAAAAAGCGGAGTTCCCTCGCTCTTTACCACAATTCCCCCCCAGCGTCATGGCACACAGAAGCACGCCCAGCCCTCTCTCTTCCCCTCTCCCTCTCCTCCGCACACCCCGCTGCATTTTAAGCTTTGTGCGTCTGCGAGCCTTTCCCCAGGATTGCCCTCCTAGGCTGTCGTCCCAGACAGAACTCCCACCCCCACTCCCAAACAAAACAAATAGAATATTTTGCAGAGTGCAGAACAGGACGATTTAACCCCCAATGAAACGTTGGCTACGTGCCTTAGGTATGTATATTTTTTTGTGGCAAACATTTAAAATATTGCCCCAATGATCAGGGAGATCTTTATAGGACTACAACAGCCAGGCAGGCAAATTAACCCTTTCAGGACTGAAGAATAGCTTGCACTCAATGAGACACAAACTGTGGCTCTCTGCAATATGTAACATGCGTAAGAGAAACACGCACATCGTCTATCTCATTTAAAAATAGATGAGGAACATTACACTTAAAATCTTCAACTTCTTGGTAAAACATCCCCAAAATGCCCTGTGTCATACAAAAGTAATACGGAGTTCCAGTGTTCTCCCACTTTTGGAACAGGCTTGGCGAGCTTGTACTCTTAGTGCACTGCCTAGTGGCTCTTGTTTGGAAATGTTACCAGGTGATGCAGGAATTTATTTCCTTAATGTGTGCTGTGTAAGAGAACGGTAAGAGCTACTGACGAAATCTGACAATGGCAATATTTGAGCTTACAGTTGCATTACAAGGCTGGCTCTTCTAGTTTAGCTTCCCTCCCCCCTCCCCATATCTGAACAATTATTCAGTCTTTCTATATCACATCCTTCCAGCCACTGACGTAAATAAGGTTAACATCTGTTTAAGTCTTTGAAAGAGGCAACAGGGAGTGTTCATTTATTATTAACATGTTTATGGCCTACCTCTCATTCAAAGATTCCCAAGGTGGTTAAATACTTATGTAAAAATAATAACACACTAAGATCCACAGTGAAATTGAAAACAGTGCAATGCAATGGTTAGAGTATTGGACTAAGGTGGCAGAGATGAGGGTAGTAGACTCCACTCAGCCATAAACTCACAGAATCATCTTGGGCTATCTCTCAGCCTCGTGGGACTGTTGTGAAGATAAAAATGGAAGTGAGAGGAGAACCTTGTACAACACTTTGAGCAACTTAGGGGAAAGGCAGGATACAAATGCAGCAAGCAGGTAGATAAAACAAACAAAACACAGAATGACAGAATTCATAGATCCAATATCGTAAGATCTTTACATGTCTGCTAAGCAACCATCAGCAAACACATTTGGTGAATGAATAAGGGAATGAATGAGGTGCAAAATCCGAAAAGACCCAACTCTTCATTGCTACCTATTGTGCCTCTGAAAATGAGGGTACTCTGAGCAAGACTTCCAAAGAGGAACTTAGTAGTTAGCCAGATTCAAATTGGAGAAGATAACCCTACAAGTGTACTAGGCAGAGGCTGTCTAGGCCTGGGTGTAGAGGACAGTTCTTTGGAATTGTGCTAGGAAACAGATGTTCAGCACTTCCCCTAAATGCTAGGGTTCACTTCCCCTAAATGATCATGCTCACAGTCTTGAGGTGCTTATTGATCCACAACTACCATTAAAGGTTCAAGTGACCTCTGCAGGCCTGAAGCACCTTTTATCAGCTTAGGCTAATATGCTAGCTGTGACCACAATTACCCATAATTCAGTAACAACTTATTTAGACTATTGTAATATAGTAAAGGTAAAGGGACCCCTGACCATTAGGTCCAGTCATGACCGACTCTGGGATTGCAGCTCTCATCTCGATTTATTGCCCGTGGGAGCCGGCGTACAGCTTCCGGGTCATGTGGCCAGCATGACTAAGTCGCTTCTGGTGAACCAGAGCAGCACACGGAAACGCCGTTTACCTTCCCGCAGGAGCGGTACCTATTTATCTACTTGCACTTGACGTGCTTTCGAACTGCTAGGTTGGCAGGAGCAGGGACTAAGCAACGGGAGCTCACCATGTCGTGGGGATTCAAACCGCCGACCTTCTGATCGGCAAATCCTTGGTTCTGTGGTTTTAACCCACAGTGCCACCCGCGTCCCTTATTGTAATATGCATGGCCTTTAAAAATGATTCAGAAACTGTAGCTGTGGAATAGAGTGTTTTGTCAGCTGCACTGGCCCCTAGCCTGTTTCCAGGTTTGATTTAAAGTGCTAGTTAGTTTTAACTGCTAAAGTCCCAAATGAATTGGGATTGGGCTACCTGAAAGAATGCCTTCTCCCACATTTGCTTACCTGAACCTTAACATCTTCTTTGGGCATCCTGCTCTAAGGTTTACTGCTGAATGAAGTGAGGTGGGTAACCACCGAGGAGAGGACTTTTTAATAGTGGTACTCTGGTTATGGAATAAGCTACCCAGAGAGGTTCACCTGGTATCAGGTGAAGCCTTTTTGTTTCACAGACTACATGAAATAATTCATGTAGTCTGGTTCTATAGGTTTTCATATCTATATTTTAACTTTTGGGTTCTTGTGGGTTTTATTTTCTTGCTGCATTTTTGGCTTAATGTTGTATTTTACATTTGAATTGTTTTCACACTCACTTATTGTATGCAGTCCAGAGAACTTTTTGTTATCATACACTATACGTGTGTGTGTGTGTGTGTGTGTGTGTGTGTGTGTGTTTATAGATGATAGATAGATGATAGATGAGAGAGAGAGAGAGAGATGCAATGAAAGTTAAGCAGTTTATGTGCTTAACTGCTCATTATGCACATTCAACAGGCCTCTTGGATAATGTGCACATAATTCTCACATGAAGAGGGAATTATATATATTTCCTGGTCAATATACATAATCTCCAACACACTTTGTGAAATGTGCATATCTCAGCTGAATTTTGTACATTCTCTGACCATTATGCATAATCTCCAGCAGTCCTTGAGTAATGTGCATATTCTGACAGCGTTTTGTACATGCTCTGGGCAATATGCACATTCTCTAATCAGAATGCATGGATTCCCAGAAACATATCTTTGTTTCTATCTCTTGTTCAGAAGCATGCAATGTACAGTCTCTGGGCTGACTCTGCCCCACTGCTTAATTGGGCCAATTTGGTGGTATCCTTATTGCCCTATGTTGAATTCCTCTGCCCAGAGAGATCTGGGGAGAATTCAGTCTTGGGGAATGTAGCATGCTTCTTCACAAGTGCCTTCACTGCAGGAAATGTGCTTTCAAAGCACAGGATTGAATCCTCTGGCTCTCATTCATGGTGGAGTTGTGGTTGGGATAAGGAGTTATTTCATATCCTTCTTCCCCCGCCCGAACATATGTTTATTTAGGGTTTAAACACCTGTAATTAAATATTAACCTGATCCCACAAATAGATTCTAGACTGGATTGAAGCTGGATCAAATGTTTCCTGGGTCAGCCTAAATCAGGGACCAGATTGAGTTGGGGTCTAGCAAAAATAATTTTGTGCCAAAATTACATGATCAATGCATTCTCTGCATCAAGCAGACTGTTTCAAAACTTTCAGTATACAGCTAACAAAAGAACAAGCAAAGGGTAGAAGGACACATTTCAATTTACCATAAATTCTTTCCCAGCAACTCTTCCCTTTTACAACTTTACAGTAAAATACAGCTTTGCATCAATAGTGTTCGGGGTGATTTCTAAATCACTTGGGGAAGTGCTTTGAAACATTAACCTCAAAGGTTGCAGCCCCAACACCACCTTTCCTTTAAAGTAATCCCATTGGCTTCAGAGGATGGCTCTTGAGTAAGATGCTTGAAGTTTGCTTCTTCTTCTTTTAAGAGGAATCAATCCCAAACTTAACCTCTGTGTTCTATGATCCTAATTTGTTCCTAAGGGCCTTAACAATTCTGCTTACTTTTGGGTAACACAAACCTTGGTTCCTTTCTCGTTCCCAAGCTGCCAGCTCCTTTCATCTCATCACATTTCTCTCGTCTTGAGTTGCAAGTTTCTAGCCTTGCTGAATTTTTAACTTTCTTAGCTACATGACTATTCACTATCAGTTAGATGAAATTACCTGGTTTTTCAAGAAGTTGGCTTTCCACATTGTGCATGGGAAGATGAAGGGCAAGGGTGAAGAACCTGTGGCCTTCCACGTGGTTTGAACTACAGTTCCCATCATCCCTTGCCAGCATAGCCTATAGTCAGAGATGATAGGTGTTGCAGTTCATAAATTCCTGTGTGTGTTTACTTGTGACTCAACTCCACTAGACTCAGAAGGACTTATTTCCCATAAACATGCGTGAGAATAGGTGGCACAAGTAGGAACTGTGTGTTCAAATCTTGATGCATCAAAAAAATGTTCTAGATACCCTCGACTAAACCTCCACTTTCTCTCTTGGAACAATG